AGGCTAGCGCGGGGCTAGCGTAGGGCCGACGGGGGCTTAGGAGGCTAGCGCGGGGCCGATCGGGGGCCTTAGGAGGCTAGCGCGGGGCTAGCGTGGGGCCGACGGGGGCCTTAGGAGGTTAGCGCGGGGCGCAGGAAAAAGAGCGGCGGCGCACGAGGGCGCGGCTAGCGGAAACGGTGGGCCCTATCGTTTCGGTCCTAGGTGGAACCTAGGCTCGTAATACCATGTCAGAATGAGAAACGAGAATGAGGAGTGACTAGCAGGAACAACAGTACAAATATGTCAAACCCTAATCTGGTGTACCCCTTATGGTGTGACCCACTACAGCCTAGAACCACACAAACATATAAATGTTTGACAAGCAGGACACGGTAAAGTGGTAGTGTGACGTGCAGTGACTGGTCCCGTAGTGGGATCAGCCAAAGCCACAGAAACGGGCGCAGGAAGTGGTGTAAGTGTCGTGCTGTCCCGGAAGAAGCAGTGTGAGGCTCCAGAGTCCAGCGTGAACGACAGCGAAGCGTCCTCTGAGGTAGTCGCTGGTCTAGAGTCTACACAAGAACCTACACTAGCAACAGGCAACTGAGCAAGACTAGCACCTAAGCTAACAACACCAGAGTAAACAGAGTCAGAAACACTAGAGTCAACAACAGCATACATAGCATGAGGAGCACCAATCAGATCAACTAACTGCTCAGCAGACATGCCCCACAGAGCGGAGCCGTAGCGCTGAACCAGAGGAAGCCAGTCAAGAGCAGGACCGCCAACCCCGTAGGCCAACCGGACCGTGTCAGTGAGCTGAGCAAAGCACTGACCAGGGGGGTGAAAGCGGCCACAAGGGTGGCCCCGACGAGGACCTGTCAGAACCTGATAGGTGCAGGGAGGGTAAGAAGCACCGCGCCAGCCCCGACCCCGGAGCCAACTGCTGACGCTGCTGCTGCTGAGGCTGGCGGGAGGAAAGGGGCTGCTGCTGCTGCTGAAGGTGCTGCTGACGCTGAGCCTGGTACCACGCCGCTGCTCCACCTAGCGGGGTCGGCAGTACAGAAGGCGACTGACGAGCTCGGGGGTCGCCGCCACCAGCAGGCGCAGTGGAGTCACCAGCCGCTGCACGAGGGGTCTCTCCAGACGCTGCACTCCCACCACCGCCAGTCGCAACAGCACCCCCACTACCTCCGCTACCTCCACCTCCACCTCCACCAGAATTACCTTTCTTGCCCCCCTTGCCGCGGGACCGCGACGCAGTCGTAACAGCAGCCGCAGTCGCGTCAGTAGCGGCAGTGGCGAGAGAGGCAGTGAAGGTGGGTAACTGCGGGACTGTGCACCCGTGGAAGAGTGGGGGGGACACAGTACCAGAGGCGGCAGCAACCGAGCGAAGGTTGCTCTCGACGTCCTTGAGTGCAGACTCAAGGACCTCGATAGTCAGCTCACTAGGGTGCTTCAGCAGAAGCGCGTCACGAACGGAGGCTAGGCGGTCAGGGAGGCTAGTGGCGATGAAATAGACAGTAATCGCCATGGGGGGAGGAAGCAGTGCAAGCTGTGCCTCAGTGCAAGCAGCGCGGTAACTAGCGTCGAGCGAGCGGAGGTGAGCGATCAAGTCAGCAGAGCGCTCAAACGAGGCGAGATCAGGAAACAGGAACGGGAGGAAAAGACGGCCAAGAGAGACAGTAGCGGGAGTAGAGTAGCGGGCCTTAATCGCAGTGAGGTACGCAGCAGCGGTGCGAACCTGAGTAAAGTGGACCTCCTCAGACTCAGGGAGGAGGCTGCTGAGTGCGATGCAGGCCGCAGCGTCACGCGACGTCCAAGCCGTCCGGTCAGCGCGCTGACGGGCAAAGCGAGCCGTAGCAGCGTCGTCAGGGGCAGAGCCTAAAGCTGTAGGCTCGGGGGGCTCGGGGAGGTCACCAGTAGCGTGCGACCAGAGGGTCTCGCCCCCCTGGACCTGACTCTCTAACAGACGGCGAGCGCGAAGAAGCCAGACGGAAAAGTCAAGTGGTCTACCGTCAGCGTCGAAACGAAGAACTCGCGGAGTCGCCATAGTGAGAACTAACGCGAACGAACAGGCGAGTAACAACCGGGGAGAAGAGGCAAATTAGGGTTCAGGTGGGAAGGGGACTCAGTCGCAGCGGAAGAGCGGGCTAGGGCGACGGGCCAGGGCGTAGGGTAGGGCGACGGGCTAGGGCGTAGGGTAGGGCGACGGGCCAGGGCGTAGGGTAGGGCGACGGGCCAGGGCGTAGGGTAGGGCGACGGGCCAGGGCGTAGGGTAGGGCGACGGGCCAGGGCGTAGGGTAGGGCGACGGGCCAGGGCGTAGGGTAGGGCGACGGGCCAGGGCGTAGGGTAGGGCGACGGGCCAGGGCGTAGGGACGGGACAGGGCGACGCGACGGGGCAGGGCGCCGCGATGGGGCAGGGTGACGGGACGGGGCAGGGCGACGCGACGGGGCAGGGCGACGCGACGGGGCAGGGTGACGGGACGGGGCAGGGCGACGCGACGGGGCAGGGCGACGGGACGGGGCAGGGCGACGCGACGGGGCAGGGCGACGGGACGGGGCAGGGTGACGGGACGGGGCAGGGCGACGCGACGGGGCAGGGCGACGGGACGGGGCAGGGCGACGCGACGGGACAGGGCGACGGGACGGGGGGGAAAGGGCGGGCACGACGTGACGGGGGGAACGGGCGCGACGCGACGGGGGGAAAGAGCGCTAGGCGACGGGGGGAAAGGGCGCGACGCGACGGGGGGGGGGGGGGGGGGGGGGGGGGAAAGGGCGCTAGGCGACGGGGAGAAAGGGCGCTAAGCGACGGGGGAGAGGGCGCTAGGCTCGGTACTAGGCGCGGTAACAACGGAACCGGTACGAACGAGAGGTAGGATCAGGCTCGGGAGGGACGAACGGAGAACAGAGGAACGGGATCCCACAGGATCCTAACCTAGCTGATACCATGTCAAAATGAGGAATGATGGTGCCATTGATGTTGGTTGGGGTACATATAACAAACCCTAACTTCTGTACCCCCTAAGACAAACCTCACTACAGGCTACAACATTTGACAAATAGCAAGTAGAGAGAAAGAAAAACACCTAGAAGAAAGAGTTAAGAGTGAAGTAAGACAAATTTGATGAGATAAAGAAACTCTTTAAGAAGAGATTAAGTAAGAATTTGAAGGCTTTAAATAAGAAGGTTAAAGAGAAAAATAACAACTTGAAAGGAAGATGATGAAAACATTAAAGGGAAAGAACAATTTATTGAAAGAAATGTATTGAATGGGTGATTGATGAAAAGGTAAAGGAGCTTGAAAATTAAACAAACTTGATAATGACAACTAAGATTTAATAAGAAATGAGATTTGATAAAAATGAAGAAGCTTTAAATAGGGAAGCTTGAATTGAGAAGCTTGACAAGAGTGAAAGGAGGTGACTTACCTTAAAGACTCTTACTTGTCATTTTGAAGGAGCTTTGTAACTTAAAGAAGCCAAGCTTGAATTGTGAATCTTGATTGTTGAAAGGAGAGTGAGATCCAAGCTTGATTGTTGAGTAGTAGATGTTGATTGTTGAGTGGAGAAGGTGAAACTTGAGTCTTGATTAGAAGAAAGTCAAAGTTGATGTTGAGGCCTTAAAACTTAAAATGCACTAGTCCAAAGGAGGTACATGATGGACTTGAAGAGCAACCATTGATTTACAATCTAGTAGAAAGACTATGAAGCGTAAGCTTCTCTAGAGTTGGAGAACATGGCTATGAGCTTGGGTTGGGAGAGGTTGAGGTGATGAGTGGAGCCTTAGGAGTTGGGCATGAGGAGGAGGACTTTGAAGTGGCCTTGAGAGAGCTTAGAGTAGAACTTGTTGAGAGATTGGGTAAAAATTGCTTGAAAAGTATGAGTTAAAATTGGGTGGACCTTTTGTTTCTTTTATTTGGTGGAGCTTGAGGTTGGATGAAGGAGAGGAGGAGATGAATGATTGTGATTGGTTAAGTTGGATAAGGTGGGGGTGGTGAATGTGGCCTTGAAGTTAAGGCTTGGTGAGTGGGATGAATGTGGCCTTGAAATTAAGGCTTGGTGAGTGGGATGAATGTGGCCTTGAAATTAAGGCTTGGTGATTGGAATGAATGGGGCTTTGATTTAAGGCTTGGTAGGGAATCTTTGGATTGATTGGTGGAGTTTGGGATGAGAAGGTTGAGGAGGATTGGAGAAGAGATGAGGTGGAGGATTGAAGGATTTGTATTGGGTGAAAATGGAAGTGTGCCTTGCTGACTGGAGATAAGGATGATGAAGTGGCGAATGGGTAATGTTGGTAGATGCCCTTTGCAGATTCGAATTTTGGCTGACGGGGAAACTGTGGCGAAAATTTTCGCCACGTGAAATTTTTCCCGCCACCCTGGTGCCACGCGAGCAGCAGCAGCAGTTCATTTCAACATTCTCTTCACGATTCTCTGTGTGGAAAGCTACATGCGGTTTGGGAGTTTTCAAGAGTTCTATTGAGCGTAATTGATAACGATGCAATGTTACCCCATATTTCCTCAACAATCTGCCATTGGTGGAATTTAGCTTGTTAAAGCCCGCGGCCCAAATCGCGGGCCGCGCGCGTCAAGCTTTTAAAACTTGACGAAGTGCAGTGTTCAACCTTTGAAAAGTACCGCACTTGCAATTTGGGACTTTCATGGACAGACCCAACCCTTGGGGCAAATACGAGGGAGTGCTGGGTTTGGCGAAATTAACGAAAAAACGAAATCGGGAGTCACTCGACAAAATCCAGACCAGAAAAACCCCAAACGTCAACTTTTAAAAGCTTGTGCAATTTGAGCCGCCGGCTTTAATCAGACGAGTTCAATGTAGTTACCCCTGCCGGATTATTTGTTTTTCTTTTAATGTATGTTTTTGCACATATTTATTGATATAACTGGCACCCTGAAATGCAGCACGTGCTAGCCAACACAAAATGAAGGCAGTACATATAGCACACACTGTCATTTCTTTACATCCATTATATAACCAGGAGTCACTATACAAATGAAGTTCAATTACAACAGCTTCTCTATGTCAGCCTGCATAGAAAAAACGAGGGCAAAAGGAAACTATGTCAGCTAAAATCCATACAACCTGAGCTAGACTTTCCAGAAAAGATCAGGACAGGAACTCTTATATCCATAATCTTACCTGGATGGCGGAAGGAGAGGTGGTAGGAGCGTATCTCTCCACAACCTTGCCATCCTTGTCCACAAGGAACTTGCCGAAGTTCCACTTGATCGAGTCACCCAGCAGTCCTCCACCCTTCTGCGACCTCAGGAACTGGTAGACCGGGGCTGCGTTCGCCCCGTTCACATCCACCTGCATGCAGAGCAAGATGGGACGGAGAAGTGAGATTGTTAGACATGCTTGTATGTAATGTTGGATTGATAGCCGTCATGACATATTTTGAATGCAATAAGACCAGACTTCTAGTAACAGCATTCTTTCTCGACTTCTTCTGGTCTGTCTCACTTGAAGTGTATGCCTGCACCTCATGAGTTACTCCTCACGCACTTCCGGCCACATAGACGTCACCCCGTTACCCCATAACGGTAGCAATACCTTGTCAAAGAGTGGGATGTGGCGCGGTATCTGGAGCATGCGAAGTCCTTAATCTTCTCGTTGCTGCAGTGAAGACTATTTTATTCGCGCCATAGGACCGCGTACCTTGTCAAAGAGCGGGAAGGTGGCGCGGTATCTGGAGCACGCGAACTCCTTAATCTTCTCGTTGCTGCCCGGCTCCTGCGACCCGAACTGATTGCACGGGAACGCGAGGATCTCCAAACCTGGCGGACGAGAATCAGAGGTGGGAGGAGGAAAAGGTTAGAGCAGGTACGGGAAGCAAGAGGCATGATGCGAGTAAAATTAGGTTTGGGGAGGAGCAGAAGCAAGAAGAGGGGGGGCGGCAAGAGGAACGCGGCAGGAAAGACGCGGCAAGAGGAGACACGACAAGAGGAAAGCTGGGAGAAGAGGAGCGGCGACGTAGGCCGAGAGAGAATGGGAAGAGCGTAAGCCGCGCAGAGTGTTACTCGAGTGAACCTTGACACAAGTGTTCTCACAATCCCTCACCTCTGTCCTTAAGCTTGTCGTACACCGACTGCAGCTCCTTGTAGTTGGAATCGGTGAGTCCACTGCCGAGGCCCTCGGGATAACGGATGATTACGAAGGATGGTAGAGGGAAAAGCGCGCGACAACAGGATTGAGGTACGAGCATGGACGAGCGTCTGAACAACCGAAGTGGCAGGAGATCAACATTGGAAGGCGAAGGGTCTGAAGTACCAAGTAAGCTCGACCTCTGTCAAGCGGGAGGGGAAAGGGAGAAGGTTGGCAGTCAATTCCACGTCTACCCGAACTTTGTTGGCGCTCTGGTTACTTCTTTACTGTTCCGAGATCCAACAAGCGTCGCATGTCGTTCTACTCACCATTGCGAGGCGACGTTGACGACGAGAACGACCTTGCCCTTGTACTGCGACAGCGACACGGGGTTGCCGCTGATATCCTGCGCGCGAGCGAGAAAGAAGCGATATAAGTGGGATGCAACAGGTCAGGTAAGACTGCGCCGATCACTCCTGAGTCGCATCAACATTAAAACCGACTTGAATGGTAGCGAGGATCACACAAGCACCGCAGTTTCACTGGGGATCCTGCGAGTACAACTGGCTTACGTTGACAGTGAAGTCGTGGAAGGTCTTCCCCGCGAAAGTCGCCGCGGATGCGTTGGCACCCATCGCTCCGCCCTTTGTGGACGCCGACGCGCTCCTGGAAGCAGTCTTAATGGCAAACGCCTGGCGGAAGCTCGGAGCACTACCCTTCGCGAACGACGAGCCACTCACTAGCAGGGTCGTAGCGTGCTTACGCGCGGGACGAGAGATTGTGGAGAGGCTGCGAGCGAGAGATGCGGTGGAAGGAGTAGAGGCAATAGCGGCCATCGCAGGCTCAAGTAGGCAAACAACAAGAGAGATGTAGTCGGCGGAGACAGATACAGAGAGGCGAAACTGGATTGGCAATTCTTGATTCCTGAAGTGATGGTGAGGAGAAAATGTTGAAATTAGAAGTGGATGAATTCGCGGCAGGGAGGAATTTGCGGTGATGACGTAAGCGAGAGCTTCCCCAGAAGGAGCACAGGTTTGTGGATCAACACCCGAGGCAGATCGTTTTTCTATGGTTGGTAGCCCCAGCAGTGGGCAGCTGATTTTGAGCTCAACAAAGTATTGCTCACGGCTTGTTTGGCTGGGCTAAACATGTTTTTGCAAATTTCAAAACCGATTTCCTGTCCTCTTTCTCAGCGAGTCATCCCACCTGGTCGGTCCCCTCTAGAAATAAGAGATTGCTGACGTCAGCTCCCTCATTTTCCTTTCACGAGGATCCATCGAGTACACGTGTACACGTAGTGACTCTCCAGCTAGACCGAGCCTTGATCTTCCACGTGCATGAAATATGTGCAGCCAACACGCTGCTGGTCTTGTCTACGTGGCTCTTCGACCGAAAAAGGATTTGCGGAGGAGATGCACGAGAACGAACCGCTAGAAGCATCTCCGATGTCGTGCTAAGAGATTGGCCTTTTGACACACGGGAAGGCAATGACTACGGAAACCCGATCTGCGGCCAGCGAGCCTGAAGGCTGCATGCTGGACGATGCAGAATAGGGACCAGGGTTTAGGGTTATGGATGACGCCTCAGGGGCATTTCCGTCACCATCGATATTAGCACGACACCTCTGCGTACGGGGCCCCCCCTTGCAAGTCCCCCTAGATAGGTCAAATATTACGTCATAGTGATTCGTGGGATGCATGTTGATGCTTTCAGTGCATAGAGAAAAGACGGCCAATTCGGTGTCATTCGCCTCTTCTCGGAATAGAGCACGACGATCTTCCGAGCGTTGAAACGACGTTTGGCACTTTTCTTGCGTCCATTCCGTTCCGAGCGTAGATACGTTTCTTGTTTCCGTGGTCCAGGGACTGCCTGCGACCAGAATGCCCTGCTAAGTCCTCTTCACATAACTAGGTCCTTACACGTTCCTCCTGGCTCGCGGTTGATTGCTGCTGGAGCCACGTGGCGTAACTCATTGGCGAGCGTCTCGTCGTAACACGTGGAGTTAAGTGTCGAAGTTAGTGCCGAAGAATTATTCAGCATGAGACGAAAGACTCAAAATAACTTGACGTAACCCTCTTGAGAGCTGGCGTAATGCTCCTCTGAGACAGTCTCTGAGAATCCCGCATACGCCCCTTGTTGAACAAATCCATCCCACGGGAAGGAGGAAGGGGGGAGAGGGCGCCGTCCTGAAGACCACTGCCGTAAGCGTGACTGAAAGGCGCATTCTCTGTGCATCTGCTTGTGATCGTGCTTGGGAGCATGGTGCGCGTCCGCTTGAGAGTGACTGAGGACATAAGAACCATACCCAAGGACACAGGATTCGAAGGTTACGATGTATTCAACGGCTTCAGCAAGAGTACTTCAGCAAGAGTACGTCAGCAAGAGTACGTCAGCAAGAGTACGTCAGCAAGAGTACTAACCCAGTGGCGTTCCTTGGCCCAGACTGTTGTGCGGGACACACGTTGGCTGCTTCCTGGGAAAGTGGCTATTAACAATAAAATGAAGATGAAGTTTCGACCATCGCATACATTTTTAGGAATGGCTTCGCATACAAAGAATCAGGTTCGTAGTGCTCCTCCCAGCACGTTCACTAGTACCACAAACACCATGACCAGACTCATCCATCCCTCCCTTCACGTGTGCGTCTGATGAGTCTACTTTTCAATCAGACTCAAACATCGACTCGCGACGGTCAGACTCACCCATCTCTCCCTTCCAGTGTGCTGGGACTACCATACTCCACAGCCGCAATCATTCATGACTCGTCTTGTCTACTCCGATTCTCAAGGAAGCCTTAAACTACCCTGCTCACGTCAATCCAACTTTAAAGCCGCTTTTAACTCCCTGCCTGCCTGCCTCAATCCAGCTTGTGGGGCATCCCAAATGACACCCCTCACATCACTCCGCCCAATAGTCAACTGCAGGTGGCGATGCCTCCAGTGGGGCAGATGGGGAGGAAGGAGACGCTGCAGCACCCCCAGCACGTCCATTCGCTGCATCTCCTGCAGCAGTACCAGTAGCATCACCACCAGCATCAGCGGCACTATCATCACCACCAGTGTCACCACCCTCACCCATCCCACTCACCCCAGCCACCCTTCTCTCTCCACCCACCCACCTCTCCCTCCTCAGCTCCTCCACAGCCACCACAGCCGCCAGCAGCCTTCCCGCCAGCTGCCGCTGATACTCCTCCATTCGCCTCTGCTCCCGCTCCACCTCCCTCTGCTTCCGCCCCACCCTCTCCTGCTCCCGCTTCACCTCCTCCTGCTCCTTATTTAACCTCTCCTGCTCTTTAACTAACGCCTCCTGCTCTTTAGCTAGCGCCTGCTGCTGCTCCCTCATCTGCTGCAGAGAAGTGAGATCGATCGGCGCAGACACCCCTCCAGAGGAAGAAGAACCCTGCTGGTCCTCGTGCCGCTGCTGAACTGCTGCCAGCAGAGACAGCAGCTTCTCCTGCGCCCCAAGCAAGCCCTCCTGGGCGCTCCGAATGCCCTCCTGTTCTGCCTGAAGCTGCTCCCTCTCCGCCCCCACCTCCTCCTGCTGCGCCCCTAGCTGCTCCTGCTGATTCCTCACCTGCTGCAGGTGCGCTCTCACCTGTTCCTGCTGCGTCAATAGCACCTCCTGCTGCGCCTTCAGCTCGTCCTGCTGTGCGCACAACTGCTGCTGCATGCCTTCAACCACCTGCTCCCACCGCACAGAACCATCCTGCTGTTCCCAGACACCCATCCGCTCCCCCTTAAGCCTCTCCTGCTCGTCTCTCAACACCTCCTGCTGTGATTTTAGCGTCTCCTGCTGTGCTTTCAGAGCGTCTTGCTGGGAGCGCAGGAGCCGCAGCGAGTTAGAAAAGAGGTCGAACTGGCGCACGGACTGGTCCTGCACGCCCAGCAGCAGCAGCTGCACCTCCTCCGACTCCCTTCTAGATGCCACCAGGGCGTCTTGAAGGCCTTGTACTTGCTGCGCTGTCGCCTCTGCTAGCTTGGATGTCTGGTGGGGATAGGGAGAGCGAGAAAGTGAAATGTTAGAGAAAGAGAGAGCGGGTAGAAAGAGGTTGAATTGCCGCAACGACTGGTCCTGCACGCCCAGCAGCAGCAGCTGCACCTCCTCCGACTCCCTCCTACTTGCAAGCCTTGTACTTGCTGTGCTGTCGCCTCTGCTAGCTTCGACGTCTGGTGATATAGGGTAAGGGAGAGAGGGGAATTTACTTGACGGAGTGGGACATGAGAGGATCTGGCCTGCATGCCCTGCTGCGCTGCTGCTACTGTAGGGTTTGTGCTGTCTGGTCTGGTGGCCACTTGTGAGTGGACTCAAAGTCCACCTGTAACTGCTGAGCACAATTGCAGAAAATGCACATCTATTATTATTTAGAAAAATATTATTTAGAAAATGTACCACGCAACAACATGGCCCACAGATCTAGCGCACCTGCAGCATGGGATCTCTGAGAGTCCGCCTCGTGACTCGCGTGTGCAGCTAGATCTTTCCACATGCCGTGACAGCGCATGCACCAACCCCACAACCTGGACCACCTGCTGCAGCTAGCGCATCCTATATACTCCAGGGTCAGGCAATTCAACGTACCTGCAGCATGGGGTCTCTGAGAGTGCGCCTGGTGACTCGCGTGTGCAGCTGGATCTTCTCCACATGCCGTGAGAGCGCATGCACCAACCCCACCACCTGCTGCAGCTCTGCCACGCTCACATGCTCACCCCCAGCCTTTCCTTCCCGCCCTGCTGCTGCTGCTGCTGTAGACGCCTTCTGTACCCCCTGCTGCTGCTGCTGCTGCTGCTGCGGCTGCTGCTGCTGTTGCTGCTGCTCGTGTCTCTGCTGCGGCATCCCAGGTTGAACGGGAGCAGGTGGGGGTTGAGACTGAGACGGAGGTGCTTGTAACGGGGGTGATAAAAGCGAGGGTGCGGTGGGCAGGGAGAGGAGGCGCGAGAGGGCGGAGAGGGCGAGCGCAGAGGAGAGGAGGAGCGATTGCCAGAAGAGAGGGGGGAGCGCGGAGAGGGACGAGGCGAAGGCGGAAAGAGAGGCGACCTGGAAGGGGGAAGGGGGTGGGGGATGGGGGAAATGGAGGAAGGTAAGGGGGGTATTTAAGGGGGATAGAAGAGGGGAAGGGGGGAAAAGCAGTGGACACTCACTCGATCCGTCCCGTTATTCTCGCCTGATCCTACAACGTTGTTTTTTTTTCCTCCTTAAATCTCCTTTCTGTTCTTTTCCTTGTTTGTTCCAGAAGCAAGCCCGTCGGTCTCACCTTGTGCTGGAGCAGCAGGGTCGTCACTTGCCGCACGCACACGAGCAGCAGCGCTCCCACGCACACGTACCACGCCACGCCTATAACCCGTCCGACTCGCCATCTCCACGTCTCCCCTTTCCCCTCCCCTTCCTTGCCTCGTGCCTGAGTGAATCTCCTCTCTTTCACCCCTTCCGCTTCCCCTTCCTCCTTCTCTGCGAATCTTTTCCCTTCTTCTCCTTCTCCATCCCTTTCTCCTTTTCGTTCTCCTTCCCCTTCCCACCCTGCCGCTCCCTCCCAACCGACACCTCCGCCAACAGCCGCAACACGGAACGAGACATTTCGCGACGGGGTCGTTGGCGAAGCTCGCCGCTGCTCGCGCCAATTCGCGGACGACAACGCGACGACCGGCGGGAATATCTTCTCTCGGTTACCTCTCAGGGAAAGCTGACCAGCCGTCGCGCAACGGCGGGAGCGGTCGTCGGATGGGTGAGGGACGCAGCAGCCTAGAAATGGCCGCAGCATCCTCGCAGGCGCTGCTGGAACCGTCCGATGAGTCATTGCTAGCAAAGCGCTCCTATCGTTTACTAATTTCGGCGGCATATCCGCATTTGCAGCCGTGATCCTCCCCCCACTAGTAGCGGTGCGTGATCCGCCGCTGGAGGCGACGCGAATCATGGCGAGTGGGCCGTACTAGCTCGGAGATAGCTACTGCTGCTGCTGAGTCCGCGGTGAATCGTCGTATGCGGATCCAGACGGCTTCCACGTGGCTTATCCTACCGCGCGATCACGCTGATTGGTCGTCGCAATATCGTAATCACGATCGTATCTCGACCCATCGCTATCGCATCACAATCGTATGTCGATCATATCACGATGCTATGACAAAGTACACATCCAGCTATTCCCGAGAGAATCGCGGCCGAATGTTTTCAACGGCTACAATCCATGCCATTGTGCAGCAGACAGCACCTCCTGGGACCCATGCAATCGACACGACTGCCCCTCTATGGCTGCCTGCACACCCCGATTGCAGCTATCGTGGCTCGTCAGGTTCCGTACCTTCAGCTCTCGTCTAATAATCCGTACTGAAGTTCTAGGCTGTAGCCTGTAATAGGCATATGTGCATGCCCTCTCGAGGACCCAATCCAAGCTCTGTTGAACCAAACAAACTGATGGTCCAGAATGCTTTCTCGGGATCATCGCTCCCCTGCGCAATCGAATGGCTGGAATTGACTTTGAGAAGTCGAACATGCGATCTTGACGGCTGAACATCCTACGGCTCACAGGCGAACACACGGCATGAGCACCGCGTGATCTCCCCTTCTTTTGGAAAAGTTCCGAGAAGAGAGCATGGTGCAGTTGAAGATTCTCGGTGTAGTCTAGTGCATTCTGCTAGATTCTGCATTAGAATATACACGAACAGCCTACTGTATATCAATACATCATATACATCAACCCTAAACCCTGGCCTAGGTGTTAGAGGAGATACATTAGCCACCGCTTCTGTTCATCATCGGACCGTGTGTGTCACATGTCAGTGTTATGTGAGAATACTCAGGCGAAGAGCATCATTGGAATTGACTACCCGAGTATCATTGATTGTCCAATCGAACACTCAAGTCTTTCCGACATCAGTAATTAGACGCCTGGGCAGGTAATGCACCAGCATAAAGCCTGTTATCCCACATGCCATGCCATGCCTGACCATGCCACCATGCCACACACACGATGCATCAAGCCATGCTAGGCCACAATAAAGCCAAGCCAAGTCATATCATATCACATGCCATGGCATGAGAGCTTATAAGGGGAAGAATTCAGACCTCCAGAGCCCATGCCGGAGTGGCATCGTGGCACAGCTTCCCTCTGTGCCACACACGCCTGTAATCAATCACATAATCCGTGTGTGCCGACCAGTACCCAAACCCCCCACTCGCATACAGCCAAACCCTGCCGGCCATGGGGTGCTTGCTGCAGCCCACCATACCCTCATTACAATCACCATCCGGCACAGTCACAAGCATCCCCACCACCTCTCTCTCTTCAACCTCCTCCATCTCTTCCACTCCAGCTTCTCTCTCCACCCCACGGCATGCTCCACCTGACCCCTCCCGCACACATACTTCACTTGTTACACACTGGTTACCAGAAGCTGACGGTCTTGGGGAAGCAAAGGAACCGATGTGGCTTACAGGCGCACCAGCAGGGCTTCCATTCGAATGTGGGCTAGAACGTGCGGTAGAGTGTGAGTCAAGGTGTGAGGTACGGTGTGTGTTAGGGTGTGGATTAGAGTGTGGTGAGGTGACGGCGAATAATCGCCGTGCACCTGGAATCATAGGAGCAGCAGCAGCCTGCCCACTGCTCCTGCTTCCCCCACTGCTGCCACCATTGCCGCTGTTCTTGTCACCATCACTATCATCACTCTCACTCTCCTCCCCATTGCTCTCCTCACTCCCACTGCTGCTGCTGCTGCTGCTGCTGTCGCTGCTGCCGCTGCTATTCGCAACGCTACTGCCATTCTGATCCCTCACTCTCTCCCTGGTTTCCCCTCCGCCCCTCCTCTCAGTCTCCCCAATTGCCTGTGATGGGCAAAAAAGAGGTCGCTTCAGGTCAAATAGCCTCTGCTCTTTTGGCGGTAACGGAGCGCTCACAAACGAGGACAGATCCGCCACCCACCTGATCGCCCCTGCTTTCCCTGGTCTGCTGTACCCACTGCTATACGGAGCTGCTTGCACTCTCACATGCACTCTCCCTCCTCCTCCTCCTCCCCCTTGTCCCCCTCCCTGTCTCCTTTCCCCACCTTCCACCCTCTCCCTCCCCGCCCTTGCTCCCGTCTCTTTTCCCTCCTCGTATGAAACGCCTCCTGCTGTCTCATCTACTCGCACTGCTCCCTCTCCTGCTGCCCTCTCTCCACTTCCTCCCCCTCTCCCTTCGGCTCTCCCCCCTGTGCTCCCCCCGGCACTCCTTTCAGCTCTCCCCTCAGCTCGTGCTCTCGCCTGTCGCCGTCGCTGGCGCCGCTCGCTGCTGCGGGTGGCGGTGGTGGTAACCGCGCGGGCGTGCGGTGGGGGCTGCTTGTACTGCGCCACCCGGCGGCACTGCAGATGTCCAGATTCGGTGCATGTGAGCAGGATGAAATCGAGGCTGCTGTGCTGGCAGACGCCCTGGGGGATGGGAGCAGGACGGAGAGGGGCGAGAGGGGGGAGGTGAGGCAGGGATAGATCGAGGGGGCAAAGGGTGTAGGAGATGAAAGAAACGAGGGAAGGAGAAGAGGGAAAAGAGGGGGAACACAAGTACGGAAACCATGTCTCGTATAACATGAACAATATGACCCACCCAGCCCAGCCCAGCCCGATGCTGCACCTTCTAGAGTCTCAGCAAGGAGAACAGAGGTGTTGTCTCCAGCTGGTTAGGCATCACCCTCACCAGATACCTTTTGAGGCGCCCCTCAAAAGCCCACCCACCCACCTTCCAGAGCCCCTGCAGGGGACACAGCGGTGACGGCTCCAGCTGGTTAGGCATCACCCTCACCAGATGCTCCTCCTCTCCCTTGCCCCTTCCACCCCTTCCACCACCAACCCCTCCGCCCGCCCCTCCCCTCCCCTCCGCTCCCCTCCCCCACCCCCTTCCCCCACCTATTTCCGCTCCCCACGCCCCTCTCTCCCCAACCACCTCCACAGCAGCATTCCCAACGGAAAGCTGGCTGCGCACCCCCCCGGCCTCGGCTATCTCTGCCGCCCGCTGCCTCTCCTTCCGCTGCTGCCGCCTCATCGCCTTGCTGGCGCCTGCGGCTGCTGACCTGGACGCCAGCGATTGGTAAAGCTCGAAGGGCGCGTGCAGGGAGGTGGAGCGGAGGGAGGCGGAGGAGGAAGGGGACCAGGCGGGGGAGGGGTTTGGCAGGGAGGAGGAGAGGCGGTCAGAATCAGCTGCATCAGCAGTTCCACCAGCTATGCGGCTTTTCCCTTTTCCCCTACCTGCCATACCGGCTCTGCTGCTTGCCTTGGCCTCTCTAACGAGATATGGACCGGAAGGGGCCAAATCGTCCACCTGAAACTGAACCTTTCTCTGCCCCCCTTGCGTCCCCTGCGTCCCAGGCTTCAACCTTCCCTGCACCACGCTTTCCTGCTCCCCGTCCTGCTCTTCCCCCTGCTCCCCTTCCTCCGCGTCCTGCTCCCCTTCCCTCCCGCCCTGCGCTCTTCCCTGCTCTCCTTGCTCTGATTCGCACCGAGTCATGGAAGCTTCGTCAGGCCGGGCATCACACTGCCCAGCTGCTACAGAGGGTGCGGGGGAAATGGGGGACGGGGACGAATGGAAGGGGGACGAGGGGGATGGGGACGAGGGGGAGGGGGACCCGAACTGGAGGTTGCGCCTTGGGGGAGGGCTCTCTTGCTGGGGGAAGGAAGTGGAGGGGGAAGGGGAGGGGGAGGGTGCGGGGGACGGGGTGTGCGGGGAGGCGGAGGACAGGGCGGAGGACAAGGGGGAGGTGAAGAGAGGACAGGGCTGCGGGGAGAAGGGGAACGCCTGGGTGTTTGAAGGGCGCGGATGGGCGGAGGCGGAGGGAGGGTGGGCGGAGGCGCGGCGGGCGCGGGATGACGGGGAGTGCGCATACATCGATGACCATGGTGATGATGCGTGAGGTAACGACGAGGAAAGCCGCCCGTCGTCAATGAGACTAGTGCCTCTCGCGTCGCTCCCGCTGATCTTTCTGTTCCCGCTTTCGTAGAAACCACCTAATCCACGTCGCAACCCGTTTCCGTTTCCGTTTCCGTTTCCCACGGCGCCATGACGCCAACCCAACACGTGTTGATTCCCGCCAGCGGAGACTACCAGGTGATTTCCCGACACGAATTTAACCTCTGCGGGCACCCACGATCCTCCGCCTTCCCTGCTGTAACTGCGCCTACGGTGATGGCTGCCACGTGTCCCGCTGCCATTGGTCGCCCCGGCTGACAGCATGATCTTGTCAGCGAGCGTCGGCCAATCAGCGTCGAGCCAGCAAGACACATCTGACGCGTCCATCTGCTGGCTATAACCTGCTTTCCCTTGTCGAAATGTATGATACTCTATATCGGGTATGAAGTGGTCTCTAGGTGCGGGGACGACGCGAAGGAAAGGAACCCTGACGACAGCGTACGGCGAAACGCTTCTCTCTTGGCCTAGCCGATCGACATGCCGATCGTAATGCCGATCGCCATGCGCATCGTCGTACCGACGACGACGCCGATCGTCGACTGCTCTGTGATTGGCTGGCGGGCCAACCGGCGCTGCGGGAAGCACGCGCACGCCCTCGATATAGCCGTCTCGCCATTGGAACGCGACGAGCGACCCCAATCCGCCGTCGCCGACTCCGCGCCAGAAACCAATCAGTGACTCCCACGTGTCCAGAACGTAATAGAGGCTCTTAAAGGACGTCAATTTCCCATGCTGCTGATCGTGGGGCTGCTGATCGAATGGCAGCTGCGAGGATTGGTGGGGAGGGGACAGCCACGTGTGCAGAGAGGTGACGTGGCCCCATCGGCGGTCGCATGCGGGCTGCCAGAGGCGAGGGTCGTCGAGGAAAACGCGGAGGAAAGTGCGGGACACGCACGCGCAGCGAGCGAGGTCTGGTAGACGGAGGTGGGAGAGGATGAGACCTAGCAGATCGTCGCTGAATTCCGTCATATCTGTAGGGTCCGCCATTGGAGCCCTAGGTTATCACATGAATGGCGAATTCGAATTCGAAAGAAACAATTTCAGAAGCACTAGTTAGTTGTGGCGGAAATGGCGGAGACTAAAAAGGACGACACTTGACGAAAATAAGTGGAGGAGCTTATCCAACAAGTCAGTCAGCTAGTACTGGCTGGGCAAAGGATGGAAGCACACCATGGAACGAATCGATAGGGCATGCTACTGGCTCAGCAGACGCACCTGAGGAATATTCTCTAGGGACTAGCTTTTGGGCAGAACGATATGGTCTGGAGTCGCACAGCTGGCTTTACGACCGCTGACGACCCATATTTGGTCGCACAGATTGTGCCAGGCCGTGAAATGTAGTCTTGCGATCACTTGCGCTCACTCTAGCCAGTCGCTGTGGTGTCGTTAACGCTACAAGGATCCAGGTGTGGCAGATCGGTTGGTTGAAACGCGTGCGGGGCGGCTAGATGCAGCAGAACCGACGATCAAGCGACGCGCGCAGGTCGTTTCAAGTCGTGTTTTGAAGCTGTCGTAAAACCCGAGGCTGTCGCCGCACTTGCACTTACTCCAAGGTCGCACGCAACTCACGTCACCTGTAGAGTAATGAACCTCAAAAACCCTGACGCATCGAAAAGCATTTACTTGTAAATAACGCAAATTCGAAATGTAAAACGAAAAACGTGCCGCTTCAAAATTCATGCTCTATCGAGCAAGGTGTTATCGAGGTACTCCCCATGTGTCATCCATATATATTTGAAATCATCCAAGTGCCAAACTTCTTTTCTAAAAGTCAGGACCAGCACCAACAGCAGCAGCACCTTTTCTCAAAAGCGAATACCTTGCTGTTCGTCTGACAGTCTCTTTTGTCCGAATCCGCCTCTGCTTCTCTACGCTTGTCTTCTCCTCGTGACGCTCCCGAATTCCCGTTTGTCTTTACTGCATTTCTTCCATAAGAGGCTGAGCTTAGGAGATGGACTCGACTAAGCCGAAGAGGGAGTCTTGGGCCGACTCAGCGGAGGAGGAAGAATTGGAGCTAAAGGAAGCGGAGCTTAAGGCGGCGGCAGCGGCGGCAGCGGCGGAGGTGGCGGCGAAGGCCGCGAAAGACGCGGACGACGCGGAGGACGCGCCGCCGGGCCTGACGCCACGATCTGCGGCGAAGAACACGGAATTCGGCGAGAGCGCGGAGAAAGCGGCGGCGGATTTGGATTCGCTGAAGGTCAGCGAAGGCGTGGTGGATCAACCCGACCTGAGCATCAAAACGGGCGAGCTGAACGACGTGCCTGATGGGTCGGAGCACGAGATTAAGAAGGTGCGTCAGCAGGAAAGGAAATCAAGATGGTTTAGAGCACGAGATTACGAAGGCAAGCTCGTCGTCACCCCTCCCACGGAAAGCGTCCAGTTGATTCTGGAGATTGTGAGGAGCCAACGGGTGAGCTATGAGTGAGCTCAGTATCGAGAAGGCGAGGCGTGGTGGATCAGCCGGACCTGAGCATCAAAACCGGCGAGCTGAACGACGTGCCCGATGGGTCGGAGCACGAGATCAAGGAGGCAAGTTCTCACCCTAGAGCTGTTAGCACACTATCGAAGATCATTATCGGAAATTCGCAATTGTGATTTTTAGGAACCAACCACTGAGCTGCAAACATAGTATGAAGAATGCGAGGCTTGGTGGATCAACCTGACGTGAGCATAAAAAATGGCGAGCTGAACGACTTGCCTGATAGGTCGGAGCATTAAACCTATCAGAGGCGCTACTGAGGGGCCTCTGATAGGCTTGATCTCTATTCCTAGATGAATTTCCAACTGACCGTCACAACTTTTTCTCTGTTGCGTACACCCTCCGACTCCCCACTCCCTCATGCATGCAGGTGGTGGCAGCAGAGACGCCCTACTCGTCCGCCAAGACATTCGAGGAGCTCAACCTATCAGAGCCGCTACTGAGGGGGCCCTACCTCAAAATGATGAATCTCCAACTGAACCTCTCAAAAGCTCTCCTTCACTGCTTAACCACACCCCACCCATCCATCCCGCATCCCATCTCTCTGTTTCTTGTACTATCCCATCAGGTGGTGGCAGCAGAGACGCCCTACTCGTCCGCCAAGACCTTTGAGGAGCTCAACCTATCAGAGCCGCTGCTGAGGGGCCTCTACTCCGAGATGAAGTTTGAACGCCCCTCAAAGATCCAGGCCGTCACCCTCCCCATGATCCTGCAGCCACCTAATGCCAACCTCATTGCCCAGGTGAGTCATTTTTCAGTGAGTTCCAATGCTTGAGGTTGTGTCTTGAGCCTCTCCCAAGATCCAAGCCGTCACCCTCCCTCCCCATGATCCTGCAGCCGTCCAGTAGGGCTATCAGCCCACTGCTTCGGTTCCAATCTGCCGCCCCCTCCGAGATCCATGCTGTCACTCTCTGCCCACTCTCTGCCCACTCTCTGCCCACTCTCTGCCCACTGTCTGCCCACTCTCTGCCCACTGTCTGCCCACTCTCTGCCCACTCTCTGCCCACTCTCTGCCCACTCTCTGCCCACTCTCTGCCTACCGTTTCAGCGCCCTTCCCTCCCCTTTCTCTTTCTCCTCGTCCCCACCGCTTCAACCTCATGAAGGTCTAGTTTCATTTTTTAGTTTAGGGTTTTGGAGGTTTGCTGTTTAGGGTTTCGGAGTTCAGGATTCGGTTTCAGGATTCAGGGTTCACAACGGGTTGGGTGTTTTTTTTTTTTCTCTCAAAAATCGACGTGCTTTGTGCTGTTTCGAGGCGACCTGCTGACTCCTCTCCCTCCCCTTCTCCCCATTCCCACTCCCCTCCTCCCAATGCCCTCCTCTTCCCGTCCCCACTACTTACTCCCACCCTTGAGGCGATACAACATGCTTCGTGCTGGCATGCTGTTGCGAGTGGACCCGCAGGTCCAACACGTCCCCCTTCTTCCCTTCTTCCCTTCTTCCCTTTTCCCCTTTCCAATTACCCAAACCACGTCCGATGGGTCAGGCAAGACGACGTGCTTCGTGCTGGCATGCTGTTGCGAGTGGACCCGCAGGTCCAACACGTCCCCCTTCTTCCCTTCTTCCCTTCTTCCCTTTTCCCCTTTCCAATTACCCAAACCACGTCCGATGGGTCAGGCAAGACGACGTGCTTCGTGCTGGGCGGGCTGTCGCGGATGGACGAGGGCCTCAATTCCCTCCCTCCCCTGCCCGTGCCCACTACTTACTCCCGCCCATCAGGCGCACAACGGGTCGGGCAAGACGACGTGCTTCGTGCTGCTGGGCATGCTGTCACGGGTGGACCCGCAGCCCTAACTCCCCCCTCCTCCTCCCTTCTCCCCCTATCGCCTCCTTGTTCCGAAACCGCCCATCAGGCGCACAACGGGTCGGGCAAGACGACGTGCTTCGTGCTGGGCATGCTGTCACGGGTGGATCCGCAGATCAAGGCCCCGCAGGCCCTCTGCATCTGCCCCACGCGCGAGCTGGCGCAGCAGGTGAGAGGGGAGGTGGAGGGTGGACTAAGAAGGGGGGGATGCGAGGTTTGGTGCGAGGGGTGGGTGGGTAACGGCTGTCCAGGTGAGTCAGTCGCAGGTCAAGGCCCCGCAGGCTCTGTGCATCTGCCCGACACGCGAGCTGGCGCAGCAGGTGAGAGACAGGGGGAGGAGGGAGGTGGGGTGACGGTAGGGCGGAGTGCATGGCAAGGAAAAAAGGCGGAGAGAAGGGAGAGCAGTATTTCGGTGACTTTTGAGACGTCTCAAAAGGCGGAGAGAAGGGAGAGCAGTATTTCGGTGAGATGATTGCAGGTCAAGCTGGGTGGATGGAATGAATGTAAGCCGGGTGGATCGAATGCAGGCCGGTGGGGTTGAATGGTGAACCTCTCTAAGACCCACTCACTCGTCTCGTCTGTCCCTCCCGTCCCCCACTCACCCATTAGAACGAAGCAGTGCACCTGCGCATGGCCAAGTACACGGGCATCACACGGGCATCAAATGCGCCGCATCAAATGCGCCGCATCAAATGCGCCGCATCAAATGCGCCGCATCAAATGCGCCGCATCAAATGCGCCGCATCAAATGCGCCGCATCAAATGCGCGGCATCAAATGCGCCGCATCAAATGCGCCGCATCAAATGCGCGGCATCAAATGCACCGCATCAAATGCACCATAGTGTCAAATGCACCATAGTGTCAAATGCACCATAGTGTCAAATGCACCATAGTGTCAAATGCACCATAGTGTCAAATGCACCATGGTGTCATCAAATGCACCATAGTGGCAAATGCACCATAGTGTCAAATGCACCATAGTGTCAAATGCACCATAGTGTCAAATGCACCATAGTGTCATCAAATGCACCATAGTGTCATCAAATGCACCATAGTGTCATCATCCAGAACAAACGCCCTCCGTCTGTTCCTCGAACCCCTTCCTCACTCTTTCTCCCCATCAGAACGAGGCAGTGCTGCTCCGCATGGCCAAGTACACGGGCATCACGTGTGCATGCACAGCCTCAGAGGGCACGGGCACCATCATATCGTCCTCGCAGCAGGAGAGGCTGGGCGACCAGGTGGTCATCGGCACTCCCGGCACGCTCAAGCGCTGGATGACCAAGGACCGCATCCTCCCCGTGAAGAGCATTAAGATTCTCGTGTTCGACGAGGCCGACCACATGCTCGACCAGGTGCGTACACTTGCTTACGCTAATAGTGGTGGCTGGCAGCTTCAGCGTACATTGTCAACTGGCCCAGAACCGCCTTACACTGGCAGCTTCAGCGGGCGATTCTGGTCCAGTTGCACACTTTACACTCTGACAATGTACGCGCTCTTGAGTGCTCAAGCGCTGGATGACCAAGGACTGCATCCTCCCCGTGAAGAGCATTAAGATTCTCGTGTTCGACGAGGCAGACCACATGCTTGACCAGGTGTGTGTTACCATCATCGCAAGTGTGCCCCCCCCCTCCCCCCCCTCTTCCGCCACCAACCCCCTCCCCCCTCACGTTGTTTTAAAAATAGCTCGCATCCTTGTTTGTT